GAGCGATGGGTTCTATAGAAGAGTATTAATACCTCCTGCTGGCACACCATTGCGAACATACCTTGACGAGGCAAAGGCACATATAGAGAAAAATGAGTTCTGGAGAAGACGCCAGTACTACCATGGGGATTTCAATTCTCCCTTGGCGTCTGGCCTTGGAGCAAAACCAGCTCCAGACAAGTTCTATTTGCCAGACATGGTTTGAATCTGGTGTCCAAGGGAACAGTTCCACAGCATAAAGTTCCAGTACACTTGTCCCAGCTGCCAATGCTGCTCAATCATCCAAAAAGAACCAACTTGGAGGCCAGCTTTTGAACAAAATGAGATCTGCTGGGTCTATTGCCACCGCTTGGAATGCAAGAATGATGGTTGTAAAGGGGGCACTTTCAATTCAACCGACCCTTCATTCCTTGGTATGCTTCCCACTTGTATTGCAGACAGCTTTGAATTCATCTTTCCCCCTCAAGGACCTGGAGTTTCAAGAGTCATGCTTTGTCGTTTGTCACTGCAAATAGACAATCATGTGTTATTTGGAGCATGGGTTCGTGAGGTGAATGATATGATGTGGGAACGGTACTTACAAAAGTCCAATCAATACCTTGAATTGCTGAACGATTGGCTTGAGAAATGGCCTTCTGTCTCAAGCTATGATGGCAGTCCTCCACTGCACTGTACAAGCTATGATGGCAGACCAATAATCCCATACTCGGCATTTGGAGAGGCTGGTCACCACAATGGAATTATGATGACTGAAAACCTCGCCAAAACACTCTTTCGGCTTGTGGAAGGCGGGAAAAGACTGCAATACAACCAGAATTTGTTTGCAGCATGGCAGGATGAAGGCTTGAGAGCTGATGACACCTTCAAGATTTGCAAGAAAGTCCATGTGACAACGTCAGGAAAGAAGAGAGTGAAACCATTTGCTGGCCTACTGACTCTTTTGTCTCAAAAAGGAAAGATAGTGGCTGCTGTGTTCAAGTCCAGCATGTCACATGACACAAACACTTGCATTCTTCAAGAGGTAAAGAAAGCGAGAGACTATGTTGGTGCTCCCCGTCTGAGGCTCCTCCAAACTGACAATCCTGTAGGGGAACAAGCTCCTTACTACACCATATTTCCAGAACTGAAAGAGGGTATAGTGGCTAGGTCCTCGTTGCCTTCCATTGAGATACCACAAACTGATATTGCAGTTCTTGATGATGCCACTGCCATCAACAATTACATTTTGACATTTGCTGAATCATTTCCGGGTGATACTGATATCTATTACGGGCTAGATACAGAGTTTGAGAGAGACGGCCAGAAGCTCACAGTTTTATCATTGGCTTTCTCTCAATCAATCATTGGTGTACCAGTGGCCATTGTTATTCACCTACACAAGATTGCAAAAAGAGACTTTCCAAATTCTCTGAAGAGGCTCCTGGAGCAGCACAATATGATCCCCACTGGACGTCTGATTGGCGGAGAAGGATGGAGCTGTACAACTTGTGTAGAACTGATAGGGGTATTGAACGATATGGACTGAAAGACTTGATGGAAGAGTATCTTCTATGCACATATCCAATGAACAAGTCTGATGCGCAGTCGTCAAGCTATGTAAAGGCTAAACTATCACCTACAGATGTGCAATACTGTGCTCTGGATGCAGTTGTCTCATTATGGGTTTGTCACAGGGCATTGGCATCGTTAGCACAAGGAGGCCAACTTGTTGATCCACATCCAACTTTGCAAGTAGGGAAACGCTGCATCGTTACACACAACACAAAGGACATTGCTGCCGGTACTCTTCGGTTTGTTGGAACCAGAGGAGAGCAGAGATCATGGAACAGAAAAACATTAGGTAGGGCGGATTGCATGGTTGCTATTGAAAGTCCGATTGATGAAGCGTTTGAACCAAAAAGAAGGCATTCATCCTGGCCACAAACGGCAAAAACACTAGGAGAGCTGAAGAGAAGTCTTCATACTTTTGAACTGACAGTGAAAGTCAATCAAATCAAGATCCTTTTGGATGACTATCAACCATCTTGCACGCCAGCCATGGTAGGCGATGCTACTGTCCAACCTTTCCAAGTCGACAAGAGCTATCTTGATGGGCTACTACAGGAACACCAGGCCAGCAACAACAGTACACCAATGGTGCCAATGCAGGTTGATATCATTGGCCAGGAGGATGACACTGAGGACAGGGCTGCTGCTGGCCTTGAAGCAGAGATCCACAAGGACAGTGAGACTGGTTTGCTTTTGACAAAGTCAGTGAGGGATCTTTTTCACCAATTTCACAACATACCACTGTCAGAGAAAGCGGATGAAGCGGAACATGTCTGCCAGTTCCTCCTTGCTGAAACTTGGATCAACGATGAGCACGATTATGCAAATGTTGTCAAAGTGGTCCTTAGCAAAGGTGAAACGGATCTTGCTTCCCACGAGTTCTTCCAAAGGGAGTATTGGCGAAAACAAGTCAGACGAAACACCCCACTCCCGAAGGATCATGCTAATAACATTCGAGCTGTGCAATATGAAATATGGACCAACAGGGCATTTGAGAGGATTCGCACCAAGCCTTTAGAACAATGGTTTGAAGAGTTTGTTGCCAATGCAGAGAATGGCTTGTACTACATACCTCCAGACATGAAATTCTACAGAGTTGACAGAATCGATGCAGATGGATTGAAAATATATCTGACTGACTTCGGAACCAATCTAAATGAGTCTCTACACCAAAAGTATGCTGACCTAGTGGGAACATTTGCAGTGGGAGTCGAAACTGCAGATATCCTATTAGTCCTGAGGTCGTTCCGCTTCAACATTGCTGCAGGAATTGCAAGATGCGGTGAGCCGGATTTTTGCACTGACAGACATGACATTGTGGACAAAACTCAACACTGGCTGATGCACATCTTGCCACATTAGCCTGGCCCACACACAAGAACTTGCTGGACTTCAGTCCACCGGAAACAGCAGTCCTAGTGGGCATTCGTCCCCTTCCATTAAATGAAAACAATGTGAGAAAAGCGGAGGCTCCACATTCCGGTCTATCTAAAGATCTCTCGTACCTGTCACAAGTTTCAGTCGATTAAAATAAATCGATCTGTGTGCCGCTGTCTGCTTTTAGGTACGAGAACCACCTCGTTTAATTGCAGTACAGCCGGGCAATGAACCTCACGAATTGTCTTTGTTGTGGATTTCTTGACACCGGAAGCAAAAGACAACAAGTGGGGGAAGCACGGGTTCAGCGGATGCCCAGCACTTGACTCCTTTTAGTTTCCAATAGGGCTGGAAAACCAAAATATAGAACCACCGAAATTAAAATAGACTCCAATACCCTTGTACCGTTGGGTTTCCCCGTAGTCATCGACAGTGATGGGTATGGACGCCCAATTAAAGTTCAGTTGACTTTGAAACGCGGCAGCTATAAAATCTTTGAGATTGATAAACCAGAGGAAAGAGGTAAAACTCTGGTCTTTGACTGCAGGTGTCGGAAAGGACTGGGCCAGATCGCAAGTGTGGGTGTTGCAATGGGCCGAAATGCCGATGAATTGGCAGAGACTTGTGCAATTGCTTCTGAGGGAAGCAGAGGACGTTTTTCTGTGGGAAAAACGGCAGCAGTTCAAATGAAGGCTACCGTGCTATTGCACACGCATGCAATCAATCGTTCGTGTCCGGGATCGGCCTTCGCGGAAGCCTGTCGATGAAACAACGATAACAACACTCTTTTTAAGAATACAATTTGATCTACATTACTATCTTTAACATCTACTACTTTGTAAGTCAACACTCTCGTAATAATGTAACGATTACATTTATATGGTTTATCAGATCCAGCAATAACTGCCAAAAGTTATCCGACGAACGAAACGAAAATGAAACGTATTGAAATGTATTGAAATGTATTGAAATGTATTGAAACGTATTGAAACGTATTGAAATGTATTGAAATACAATGCCATCAAACGTTATGAACGTAATAATGAACATAATTGTAAATGCGAAATGACAGCAAATGTTATGAACCTTATGATGAACGGTGCTGAGCAACACCAACGAAAACTGTCACAAATGATGGTGCTGAGCAACACCAACGAAAACTGCCACGAATGGTGCTGAGCAACACCAACGAAAACTGCCACAAATGGTGCTGAGCAACACCAACAAAAACTGCCACGAATGGTGCTAAACAACACCAACGAAAACTGTTACGAATTGTGCTGAACAACACCAATGAAAACTGTTACAAATAAAAGAAATGTGAAGTAACAATTTGATGTACGACATTGATACAGGCAACATGGCCGCCGTTCCTCCTTTCTTCACTGTACATGACGACATGGTCATCTGTGGCATTGACAATGTCACCCTTTTCCAAGGACACACAAGCCAAGAGAATTGCTTATGAAATATTCTTGGACGATTTCACCACAACGATGGATAGCACTATTGACGAACTAAACAAAGAGTTCAAGACCCTTGCAGGATTGACGATCGCGCAAGGACAGATACGCTTGATGCCAGGTATCAAAAAGAACATCCGCGCATTCATCCAATGGTGCAGAGACGAGATTTGCATGGGACGAGACCCTACCACAACACCATTTCCTGTCGTTGATGCAGCTAAACTGCTCAGACGCATGAAAACACATGAGCAATACGTGTATGGCTCCAAGTTGATGTCGCAACAAGCGCTACCGCAAGATTTCACCAACAATGTCCAATGGGAAGATTGGTGCCCAACATTCGAAAATTACCTCCGCACCATACCAGGAAGAGACGGTGTGCCACTGAGCTACATTGTGAGAATGAACGATACAGGAATACTCACCCTGCACGAAGATTTCTTTGAAATCTACTTCAACATGGCACCACACATTGGCGAAGCATACGTTATGGATAACGCCACAGTACTAGTCCTTCTAAGCAAGTTTATCGTGGGGAATACCAAAGCTGAGGCGACCCTCCAAGCCATCAACATTGCAGGCAATGGAAGAGAAGCATTCAACGCACTACGTACCCACTATGAAGGCAAAGGGATACTAGCCAGCGATATTGTTGAAGCTGAACACACCATCAAAGAACTGTGTTACGTTGGTGAAAAACCAAAAATGAACTGGACCATGTTTGAACAAATGCTAAAGAAAGCATGTGCAGCATGCGACAAACATGAGGGGAGAGAAGTCCATTCAGACGCAATGAAACTGCGTAGCCTACAAGGCAAGGTTACAGCACCATTTCTACAACTGAACAAGACGGCAATTGATACGGAAATTGGCAAAAGACCGATGTTGATGACCTTCACGACAGCATTACGAATCTACCAAACTGCAGTGAGAGAAAAGTTTCCCCAAGGAACCAGCAATGCAACCGATAGGGGACGATACTTGAGCGAAACTAGAGCTGACAACAATCGCGACAGAAGCAGGAGCCAAAACAATGGAGGAGGCAACAAACGTTGCGACGTAGAAGAGATTACTCTGAGTAATGGAGAGAAGATCTGGTACCATCCTAGCTACCGTTTCTCTCCAACACACCTACAAGCGTTTATCAATAAACAACGTGAACGCATGGCGAAGGAAAGAGCCCCATACAGAAAAAGTCAAGGATTGCCAGCAAGAAGAACAACAAGACAGGCCGCACAAATACAATAAGTGGAAACGCAGCTGGCGGAATTGCGAGCCGAGGTAGCATTGATGAGATCCAACAACGTTCCTGCTACGATTCCAGCCAAAGCAGCCACGCAGATATCACAAGTGACTATTGGAACGACTGGAAGTACAGCAATGGGCGGACGCAACCAACAGGCAAGCAACCAACAGGCAAGCGGGAGGACCTGAAACGCGATAAGTGAGATCAGACGAATCGTAAGGGTGATCTCATCCAGCACAGCCGCATCCCAGCGACCAGTGCAACAACCAACACCAGGAACGACGGCAAGCAATGAGATGGATACTAACGCCGACACTTGTTGCCTTGGCAAGAACTTTGTTATCATGAGCTACACACCAAGATTGGCGGATGTGTACGCGTACGACCCAGCTCTACCACCAACCAATGTACCAATTGTATCTGGAGCGACCGCTCATAACTGCCCACAGAGCGGCACCACGTTTATATTGATATTCAACAAAGCACTTTACTATGGGAACCGGTTAGATCATTCATTGATCAACCCAAACCAAGTCCGCAAGTTCGGAATTCCCCTATGGGATAATCCGTTTGATGAGATGAGGAATATTGGCATCGATACCAAGCCAATATTTGTTGCACTCAAGGCAAAGGGGACAAAGTTACTATTCGATTCAAGGGCTCCAACTGATCGAGAACTCGCGAATTGCCCCCACATTGATATGACGAGCAAAGTGCTTTGGAATCCAGGTACCGTCCAACTTGGGAAAGTCTCAATTGTCCACAAAGACACAATAGATGACCCAAGATCCAACAAAGCTGAATTGAGACAATTGGATCCAATCATGCAAGGAATGAACGAATGGCGCACGGTACAGCAGACGATGGTTGATGGGGAGAGATTCTTCCAACAAGTTGGACGAATGGACGATGATGCACGATTCGCAGACGTACCTGTGAGACCGTCCTTTGTATCCACGGAACGACACACCAAAGCAACGGCAGAGAAGCTATCTGAACGACTGGGAATCGGTTTGCACAGAGCACTAGCCACCTTGAGATCGACACTACAAAGGGGGACGCGATCCGCCATACTACCACTAGCAAGGAGGTACCGAGCAGACCGCATGTTCCTAAGACCAAGACTGAAAGGCAAGTTCTCAACCGACACGGCCTATTTCAATCACAAGTCGATACGAGGCAACATTGCAAGCATATTTCCACAAGATATATATAACTGATGCATTAATCGTATTAAAACTATCTCAAGTTTCTAGATTGCCGTTAACGGCTGCCATGGCCATTTACCATACGGAGGTGAGTCCAGTACTGTTGAACCAGTTTGAGGCATCCAATCCCAGGGAAGTTGCTCTATTGCATATTACATTGCACCCTTGCACATGTAGAGACGATCTTGCCATTCGAGGCGGCGTATTTTTATTTGGTTTTTGTGTTTTTTGAAGGTGGTGGTGGGCATGGTTGTGTAGCAGGTGAGAAGCCACTTGTTCTTGCGCCCTACTGCCGTGGGTGTATCAATCCAAGTGAATGGAGAGCGTCCCAATGGCACAGTGTTCCAGAACAATGTAGCCACCATCTACGTGACAGACTGCAGGTCCCTAGTCCTGTGATCGACAGAGGGAGAGTGAAACATAGAGGGAGCAGATAGATGGCCGAGACATCTGTCTGTTTATGGACTTGCGCCGGGTGGCCGGGTCGATGTTGGGTTGGCGGGTCGCGCCAGGTCAAAAATCATCTGGCGTTGCCTGGCTAGAGAGCGACGGTTGATCGCTCTCTCACGGGAGACAAGGCGCAGCCAATGTTGACAATCTTCGAGTGATTTGTTGAGGACAGTTTTGCGGGAGTCCCGAAAGAGGTACTGCGAGCGTGGGGGGATATCCATCAGGCCCATGGCGAACTGTTCGCGGATGCCGATGTCAATCTCCCGCTTGCGAGCCGTGTACCAGGAGCTGTCTTCAGAGTGGGCAAGCCGGTTTTGGTCTTTCCACATGTAGTGCCCGATCCGGATCAGTTGCTGGATCAGGCGGGAGGCCCAAAGGTTGGCAGACTTCTTGGAGCCAATGTAGGAGAAGTGAAGGGCCTGCAGGTGTCGCCAGTTGGGGGACACTAGGCCTTCAAGGAGGCCCTGGGCCCCAAGCGTGGCTTGGGAAGAGATGGCACTTTGGAAGAGGTGGGGATGGCGGGACCAGGCTCGGACGGTGGGGACGCCCAAGGAAGGCTGACGGACTGTCTTCAGGTATTCGAAGAGGAAGGCTTCGATCTCTGGGGCAGTCTGCTGAGTCTGCATCCAGGTCCGGAAGGCCAGATGGCGTTTTGACCATTCTGCAGCTGCAGTAGGAGCAGAACAGCGTGGGACATGGAGGTGATCTTCCACGGGGCAGGAGGAGCATCTGGGGCAGGAGCTCTTCGCCGAACGGTTCCAAATGGCCAAGAATTTTCCCACACCTGTCATACCGGAGATATGCTTGGGTGTCCAGCGTTGGAGATTTGCTGGGAGGGCCTTCATGGCGCGTGCAAGAGACAACCAATCGACCTCCCGGATGGACTGCTTGGAGAGGCGGTCCTTGGAGGACCAATACGTACGAAGGGCAGGAAGAGAGACCAGCTCCATGATGTGAGCCTGATCCAGTTTGGAAGACTTAACACCATCAATGAATAAAGACACAGGTTCATGGAAGAAGCGGGGGTTGGAGGCGGCAGAACGGCCTGTAGACTCCAGCAGGCGGCAGTAGGACTGTGCTTTGGAGTCCACTTCCACATTGCGCTGCTCCCACCAGTCCAGTTGGGAGAAAGGCCGGTGCTTGTCCAAGTGGCCTTTAACATGGCGCCGATGAACTTGGAGGGGAAGGTGGCGAAGCAAGGCCCGGATGGTGGAGGCCAGATCAAACTGAGCACCAGACGATGACAGGTGGACTATTTCCACAAGAGCGGTTTCTACAGTTGCCATCATCTCTCAAAAGTGGACGGCAAGCAAGTTGGGCCGACCCTGAAGAAATTCATAGCTGAGTACGGTATACCGGAGCACCTCACGATGGACGGAGCAGCAGTACAAGTGGGACGCAACACAAGCTTTATGGAAACGATCAACAGAGCCGCGATTAACTACCACATCTCCAGACCATACCGACCGGAAGAAAACCCAGCCGAAGGGGGAATCAGAGAGCTCAAACGACGATTCTACAGATTGATAGTCAAGCATGGGATACCAGAACGGCTATAGGACTTTGTGCTTGATTATGTTGTTGATACCATAAACATGACCGCCAACTACTTGAGATATTCTGACGGACGAGTACCGCTTGAAGTGATCACTGGCATCACGCCGGACATTACAGAATACATGGACTTTACGATCTATGGATGGGTGTAATACCGCACAGACAGCGCCCTGGGGACAAACGAAATAGGCCGATGGTTGGGAGTGTCACGCAGGACGGGTCCAATGATGACGTATTGGATATTACCGAAGAGTGGCCGCCCAATCTCGACTGACACTGTCCAGAACATCACAGAAACCGAGAAACAGACCGACGTGGTCAAAGAACAAATGGCGCAATGGACAACTGATGTATCCAAAATCCTTGATGCAAGGACAGGAGACATCAGTTGGGGGGAAAGATGAGATACCGCCACAATTGATGTTCGGCCTTGGATTGGAAGACGAAGAATTCAAATGCAACTTCAACAAGTTGATCAAGGCCGACGATGTTGACGATGGCACGCTCCAGGGGACCACAGAGACTGACGACATCGACGCACAGAACTACATCAACATGGAGATTGGCCTATGATGGGGACAAGAAGGGGAGTTGCAACGTGCAGTTGTACGCAGGAGAGTCGTTGATGCAGAATGGAAATCCAACGGGCGTAGCAAACAACAACCAGTTGCTTGACACAAGACAATACAAAGTCAAATACAAAGATGGAAGCACCGAAGTGCTTGCTGCGAACTTGCTAGCAGAGAACTTTCTGATGAGAAGGCAGTAAAGATGAAAGATGGTTTCTATCCCCTTGCAAGTGGAACGCAATGAAGACGACACACGGCAGCAGGATGGGACTTCTACATTACTTGGAAAGATGGTTCCTCAATGCTTGTTCCATGTGTCCTTCCCTTGGAGCTGCTTGATACTGGCTCAGGAGTGATACTTCCAGTAAGATATTGACTCGTCCAATCTCTGTCGCCCACCGTAATATCCCAATCAACTCTTGGAAGTAGGTATGGTCCTCTTGTCCTAATTCGCTTGATCCATCCATCTTCGGTTCATAGGCACTAGTCATCGGTGTTGGTGCATTCTTGGGCATTTTCCATTTTGGGCTGTCCTTTAATGTTTCCTTGACGTTTTTGACGGCTGCCACAACGTAGTCATAACTTGACATCGTCCACATGTCGTGTCCATCCAAAGTCTTCCTTCATAGCCTAGCTCCCAAGTAGCTTTCTGGAGGTTCAATCTTGCCTTTCTTGAACTTGAAAACCCTTCCAATTCCTTCCATCACTTCTTTGGCTTTCATCGACATACAGAGGATGTCGTCGACGTAGCAAAGGATGTATTCGTAGTATTCCTCGCCGTCAGGTTTCACTGCCGCTCGCATGCAAACGTCTGGGTCGGCAGTTGACGAGCTGAAGCCCAAATCCTCCAAAGTCTCCGCCAGGTGTGATCTGAATGCTGCGGATGAACTTTTTAAGCCATATAATGCTCTTCTTACGATAAATACTTTGCTTTCTTCTTCACCGAACTTGGGTCCTGCTACCAGGTAGCACTTTTCGATCGCTGGTGCAGTGAGGAATCCATTTTGAATATCCGCGCATTGCAAGTCTAATCCGTTTAGCGCTGCTATCATTAGTAGTATCCAAACTGAATCACGGGACACTACCGTACTGTAGGTCAATGCTGCGGGTGCTTCAGTCTTGTGTCCATCAGCGCAGTACCTCGCTTTCCTTTGGAAGTTTTCCCCTAGTTTCACATCAAATACTAGGTGTCCCGTGATCTTTTTGTATCCCATCAGCTTCTCTACGTCTCCATCGAATTCTTCAAAAGCGACTCGATTGTTTTTCATCTCCATTTGAATCGAGTCTTGCCATAGAGTATCCCCATTTGCTTTGTCGATTTTGATGGCTTCTTTGGTCGATTTGGGATACGTATTCCGTACTTGTGCGTACGTTCCCATTACTTCGATTTTACTTTGCCAAGGAATCGCTTTCGCTTTCGAACAACGTGTGGTATCCACCATGCGAAAGCGGGTTCGTCTTGGATGCCCTTGCTATAGAAAAAATTATTTCAGAAACGAAACAACACGCATTCCGGCAGAACCAACCAGTCTCCCTCGCGTAGCGCTAGTACTGAATTTACGTAGAAAACTTTGAATTTATCACCAAGCCAATCATTCAAAACCGGCGCACCATGGGCAAATCTATCACCGCGAAGGCATCCTCGGCGAAGACAAAAAAGTCGGGCGTGTCTAAGATGAAAACGACCTCTGGGGCTAAAAAGTCCGTCAAGAAACGAGTTGAAATTGACCTAGAACAGCCTAAAGACAGGGATACCATCGATTCCAAGCTGGTGTCTGAAACCCAGACTGAAGAGAAGCGTGTTACTGATGACAATGAAGTGCAACGCTTGGCTGATGAGATTGAGGCGAAACAAATTGCCGAACGAGAAGCTCGCAGGAGTGGGCATTACGACAGCATTGTTCCAAACTTGTCGGTGTGGTGGATGCAGAATTTATATTCGGGAGACGCTGTCGACAAAGCATTGGAACGTCATGACCGTATCCATACGGGTAACGCGCTTTTTATGGCGTGGGAAGAACGTTTTCCTGCCGCCTGGAACCAACCCTGCCTCCGGTATGACAATCCATTTAACGACAATACCGGGACAGCAACTTGTGAAGATCGTTTCGCCCGCATTTTCACATCGATGAATTCGGATAACAGTCAATTGACTAAGTATCTCATTGCCGCATTTGACACTGAAACGATGGAAGTGAATCCATCTGAAGAAATTTGGTCTTTACGCATCTTGGCAATGCAGATTTCTTTACAAAATCCGTTTCCCTTTTTCGGTTTTGATGAGTTTGAAGATAAACCGGATGACAACCATTTCTTTTCAGGCAAAATGAACAATCCACGTCTACGCTTGGAGCATCCCTTGGTGGGCTTTTGGTTAATTTGCTCCAAATTGTTTGACTATCCATGGATTAATGAGTTTCTGTTGGAGTATTACGATGACCCGTCATCCGCAATTGTTGACACAATCAAACAAAGGAGACGTGACGAGTCCAACAAAGCTCCTCCAAACCAAGAACTAGTGAAGGCACCGGTTCCGCCTTGTATTCAAAATATATACAATCCAATGAACTCTATTGACGAGCCAGGCACGGATGTTCAACGAGATTCCGCCAGATCTGTGGGGGACCAGGCGCAAAACTCAAATCGCTTTGCATCTCTACAAAGTGACGATGAATAGTCCGACGGTAGTGGAACTCAAGAGTTAGACGAGGTTAAAGTGGTGACGGTGCAAAAGAATCACTCCAAGGCGCCCGAGTCATCGGATGAAGATGAAGACAATGATGCTGATGACACTGAAGACAGAGAGAACATTGTGGACAACGCAATGGAGGAAGACGACGATGATGAACAGGTCAATAGCGATGGGACGAATCCGCACGATGAGGCCATGGACGACAACACTCCACCGTTGATTTTTCACAACCTCACGGCAACACAAGACTCAGCAGGTACAGGGATCCTTATGGAGCCCTCGGAAACAACTCCTCTGCGCGTTCAACGTCCCCCAACACTGGCCGAACGGATCTCGAACCTCATTCAGGTGAATATGGAAGGGGTACCAGGCAAGTGTCACATCTTTGAGACTACTTTCTCTGTGAACTATCAAGGGTCCGATTCAGGAACTGTGGCGGATGCGCTCTTGTCGACAGTTCTATATTCTATGGAGGAAGCCATCAACAATTCCCCTAATGAATGAAGCTCCTTCCGATCTCCGATACCACATATAAGCAACCAAATCTTTGGATTCGAAACTCAGTAGAATTACGTAATCGCATTCCGACTTATCGCACTCTGTTGACTTACTGTGATATGGAATACGGTAACTGTCCTTACGCGGCAACCAACAGCAAGCCGGGCGAGAAGAAACTACGCACACGCATTTGCGTCGGTTTTTCTTCTGAGGCTTCTGTCGAGGCCGTCCAAGACTACCTTCATACTGGACTACGTCAATTGGGTAGAGTCGCTGGGTGCTACCCTTCTCCGTTGCAGTATGGAGAAATTGTGAAGATCGGATCATGCTTGTTTATTCCTGCAGAAGTTAACTTCTCAGCTTATGCAAAGGAGCTGATGAGACTATTTGATTTCAAAGTACCTATTGGTATCAAGATGGACTGGGTTTCTATTCCGTACACGGGACGAGCAAAGTACAACGAACGGTCTCCTGGAGTGACTAGTCCACATTGTTTCACTCGGAGGATTCATGCCAAGAGAGTTGATCGCACTTTGAGGTCGATTCTCCACCCAGCAACTACAAAACCTGACTTTCCATTTGCAGCACTGGCCACCTACATCAGTGATTGGAAGTCGGCGCAACAAGGATTGCTGAGTGTCAAGGCCTACGGTCCGGTGAAGGATGCGATCCTGACCTTGATCAGTAAGTTACAGGATTACTACATTTTGACGGAGGTTCTTTATCCAGGCATCGACTTCACCAGAATGTTCAAGTTTGCTACTACACGGTTGTACGGTTCTTGCACCCTGTTCAAAGTGCTCTTGTCTATCAAGGCCACTCCGGCCCAGGCTGATCAAGCTTCCACAGCTGCCAAAGACAAACCCTCTCCAACAACTGCCGACGACGACTCATCTGAAGAGGAGGACGATGAATCTCAGGAGGGAGCGGTTTCTCTATCCGGGGCATTCACGAAGGTGACAAAGAAGAAGGTGAAGAAGCAGAAGAAGTCACCCCTTTCGGATAACCTCAAGAATCATTTTCTCAAAGATCTGTCCCCGAATAATAACTGAGACATTAATCGTTAATATGCTACTCTATGGGCATTCGATTGCCGGTGAAATATTCGGCTGTAAAGGTCAAGTACTGTGAAGCGGTGAGTCAACAACAAGTTTGAACCATTTGAGG